TTTTTTTTTTTTTTTTTTTGAGACAGTCTCACTCTGTTGCCCTGAGTAGAGTGCCGAAGCATCATAGCTCACAGCAACCTCAAACTCTTGGGATTAAGCAATCATCTTCCCTCAGGCTCCTTAGTAGCTGGGACTACAGGTGCCCGTCACAACACCTGGCTATTTTCAGAAATGGGGTCTAACTCTTCCTCAGGCTGGTCTAGAACTCTTGAGCTCAGGCAATCCAGCCTTCTCAGCCTCCCACAGTTCTGGTATTACAGGCATTGAGCCATCGGGCTTGGCCATACACAACTACCTTAACTACGCTAGTGTTCAACTCTAAAGGTTGGTGAAGTTAGTGGAGGGCTTCTGTCACTCTGAATCCTTCCCTGTCCTTCCTCCCATATTTTCCCTACATAGACCTTAAGCTTTTCCCTCTACTTAGCCCTAATGGAGAGTTCTTTGGCCATCTACATATGAGATTAGAGAAGCCAAAACAGACTGGAGAACCACCACATCAACAGCTTTTTCATCTAAAGGTCACCTATCTACACTGCCCAAATTAGGTTTAACCTGTGAGACAACACGTGGCACAAGTGCTACCTATTGAGAAGTATAATGTAAAATTTCATGCCAAGGACTAGGGAGCAGCAGGAATCTCCAAAGAGTCATACATGTAAACCAACAGGTCTTAGAATGTTCTAATATACTATATGAAGTTTCAGAGTAAACAAATGGTTAATGACACATCTTTCGTTAACACGTGAATCAGCTACTGATTTGCAAGAGTGGGACACACCCTAATACCTATGACTCTCAAGTACCTGTTTGAAAGTGGACCTGGTTGTCTGAATTACCAACCCATCTTACTAAGATTGAACATAACTTTACAAGTATGTAGGTTGTCATAAAGTTAAAAACATGATCATATCATTATACTGGAAGTTAATTTAAGAACTTCATTAATATTTTAACACCAATAATCAAGAACGGCAGTAACACAAAGGTGTGACCAAACAATCCTAGGAAGAAAATACAAGAATATTTTTTGAGGACAGAGAAGTGTAAAGAAAGAAAGTGGATTGAAGAATAGCAAATCCAAAAATTAGAACATTCTCAATTCTAAAGAAAAATTTAAAAATGAGGCTGGTAGTGATAAAAATAACACATCTTACCTTAAGAAGCATCCAAATAGCATTCATAGTGTCAGGAATAGTTCAGACAATACTCAGAAATAAGCAAGAAAGGAGTCTTAGTAATTCCCTTAGTCACCAAGTATGAGCAGTAATTTTTTGATTTTGAGCAGGTATCTGAAAGAGAGAACTTTCAGTTAGACTAAAAATTGATCAAGAAAACAATAAGTTTAAGCTATCTGGGCAGAGATTTGAAGTACTATTTGCCTCACCATACTAAGAAGATATACAAAATACTGTACCCTTTAGAAAAATAGTAAATGAGTGTATGTGTATCTCTACATGCCTATGAAATAACTTCATATAACGAGAGAAATAAACATGTAACACACATTCTGGATAATGTAAAATTGCTTATCAAAGAATTAGAAAACCAAAATCCTGAGAGAAAAAAATGATTATCCAGGGTACTTCATAAGCATTACTGAGAGATCATTTGTTAACTAACAATCTAAAAAAGATCCTTATCATATTTAATTTTATTTGGGAAATTAAAACGTCTCTGATCATTCCTACTGCCCTAAGTTTAAGCTTAACTTCCAGAGCTGATTTTATATGAAAAATAAAATCTACTGACTGAAGTACCTACCATAAGCAAATAAAAGACCCTTCTTCCCTAGAGATCTTTAAAAGCACACTAAACAACTTAATTTTGAAGACAGAAGGAAGGTAAGTTTGCCTGGAGGCAGGAAGATGGACTAATTGACTTCTTGAGGTATCCTTGTTCGAGTCCTAGGCCTGCATAAAATTCCAGCTTAACCAGTTACTGCTTCGCTTAAAATGGAGGCTTGCCTGAGTAGGGACAAAAATAACAGCACCCACCTCTTTAAAAATAAATGTTGAAAAGTACCCTCCTTTTTAAAAAATACTAAAAAATAAAAACCTCCGGAGTGGATTTGTTCCTTGCTATGCGTTTGTCACTTCGGCTTCAAAGACTTGGCATCACTTTACTCACCGCTCATTGGATTTTAGGGGAGAAAAGAGGGAGTTTGACTCTTGACCCAAAGTCTCAGGCTAGTTTAATAGGCCCTCCGCGACCCCCACCTCCAAAGCCAGGAAAGAAAGCACAGCCTGAGTTCTCACCCCTCCCCCCACCTTGGACCCCAGTCCCAAACCTGCCCCCCCCACCTTCCCGCAGAGGGGCGACTCCTTCTGCCCCATTATCATCGTTAGGGAGGGGGAGAATAGAGGGGTGGGCTCAGGACAGGGGTGCCCGCGGCCGTTGCCCCCGCTCGCTTCAGGAGGGGCGGCCCGCGGGATGCAGCCTCCCTTCCTCTTCGCGTCGGTCCGTCCCACCTCGGCTCGGCCTGGCGCCCCGGGCTCCACTTGGCGCCCCAAGCCCTGGCCCTCCCCCGGGACAGTCAGGCCCCCGGACCCCTCGGCCCACCGCCCGTGGCCCAGGCCTACTGGTGGGCGCGGGGCGGGGGTCCCTGCGCCCCACACACGCGTCGGCGCTCCCCCAGCCCAGCCGCTTCCAGGGCCCTCGGCGGCGCCCGTTCCCCGGGCCCCTCAGTCACCCGCCTCCTGGCCGGGCAGCCCCTTCAGGCTCCCCCAGTGGGGGCCGCCCCCTCTTCCCCACCATCACCCCTACCCACTCGTGCCCCCACCCCCAGGGGCACCAGTGCCAACGGCAGCTCCCCCAACCCCGGACCTACCTGCACGGCTCAACCAAGCCTAGAAGTGGGGGCGGGGAAATCTTCCGCCCTCCTCTGTCTCTCATTGGCCCTTCCGTAACACATCGTGAATGCTATTGGCTAAGGGGTGGTGTCCGTCAGAGCAATGGGGCGGAACAGAAGGGGGAGAGAGATGCTGGTGTCTCGGCGTCTCTGTCTCTGTGTGTCTCTCTGTCTCTGTCTCTGTCTGGGCCCTTGCAAACGAAAGGCGTTTGGACGAGAGGACCGAAAGGGGGCCTAAGATGGAAGGAATGGGTGTAGAAATTCCAGCAGAGCTTCACGCCAGTCGATCACTCTGAACCCCGTACCTAAGTCCCCTTTAGGTCCTCTTCTCCATCACCCCCAACCCCTGCCCCTCACGCCTCTGGGTGCTTCATCCAGGAAGCGACGTGATGAAAACCCAGGCCGGAAGGCCATGGGGGAGATTTCACATATATATATATATAATAAACGCGTATAACTATTTATATATGAAGTCAACCAGATATAAGGTCACCAGGGCCTGGAAAGGAATGGGCACACATCTCACAGACATGGAAGGACTGCAGATATAACCGATATTAGAAGGAATCAAAAATCACAGAGTTGGTAACATTGGTTACCTGGGGAGGGAGGGAGCCTGGATGCCTAGGGAACCAAGTGAGAGGAAGACTTACATCGCAGGCATCTCCTTTGTATCTTTTTGTGTACCATTCATAAAGATTCCAATTCAAAAAAATTAATTGATTTAATTTGCGAAATAATCTAAGGTCGCAAAGCCAGTGGACAGACAAGATACTTGTCCAGGAAAATTGGCCCAACATGCAAGTTGGGAGAGGTTATGTTATTAAAGTTTTTAGTATGTTCAGTTCCAAATACCAGGGGTAAAACTGAATGGAGGCATCCCAGAGAAACGGAATTTATGCAACTTGAAAGAGTTTAGACAATTTAGACCAGAGGAGATTCTCCTTTCTAAGGATAGTGGCCTATGACATGTTAAAGGATGAACTCCCCCAAAGAAATGTACTACAGGCCCCCCAGAGAAATAACTACAGGCACGCTCCACCATGCCTAACCATGTGGTTAGTTCCTTTTACTGGGGAGGCTGAGGCAAGAGGATCATCTGAGCCTAGGAGTTTAGGTTGCAGTGAGCTGTGATGATGCCACTGCACTCCAGCCTGGGTGACAGACAGAAACAGACCACGTCACTATAAGAAATTTAAAAATTAGGGGCAGTGCCTCTGGGTCGGGTTCAAACCTGGCCCTGGCCTGCTAAAACAGCAGTGACACCTACAATGACAACTACAACAACAACAACAACAAAAATAGCCAGGCGTTGTGGTGGGTGCCTGGAGTCCCAGCTACTCAGGAGGCTGAGGCAAGAGAATCGCTTAAGCTCAAGAGTTGGAAGTTGCTATGAGCTGTGACTCTACAGCACTCTATGGAAAGCAACAAAGTGAGACTCTGTCTCAAAAAAAAAAAATTTTTTTTTTAAATTAGGGCTGGCCTCATGGCTTACACCTGTAATCCTAGCAATCTGGGAGCCCAAAGGCGGAGGATTACTTGAGGCCAGGAGTTTGAGCTCAACCTGAGCAAGAGCTAGACTCAGATTCTACAAAAATAGAAAAAGTAATCTGGTGTGTGGAATGTGCTTATACTTCCAGCCACTTGGGAGGCTGAGGCAGAAAGATGGCCTGAGCACAGGAATTTGCAGTTGCAGTGGACTATGATGACACCACTGCATTCTAGACTAAGAAACAGAGCAAGATCCTACCTCAAAAGAGAAAGAGAAAGAGAAAGTTTTAGGTATAGTGCAGATCTGAGAGGACAGGGAAAAGGAGCCCAGGATGGGGATGGGGTATCATTCATTCTCAAGAAGGAAACAAATTATGAAAAGAAAACCTCTTTATCAGTTAAGAATCTGAGTTTATTAAATCTCCTTAAATTAATCCTAGAAAACACCTTTAGTCCAGCTCCTTATTTCACATCTTTGAAATGGAGCAAAAAATAGTATCTACCTATTAAGGTTGTTGCAAAGATTAAACTAGTTAATGTATATGATGGATTTAAAAAGTGCCTGACAAAGCCTATACACTTCATTTTTAACTAACATCAATATTATGTTTAGCATCTTGTATTCCATGTTTTCATTTAAATGTTTCTAAATTAGAACGCTTCATTTCTTCCAGTTACATTTTCATTCCTCTGGGAGAAAATATCAGTGTTTCTTTAAAGGCATTCTATACTCAGAAAAAAAAATTGCCACTCATAGTACAAAGAGCTAATTTCCATTTCCATAATGCTGTATGTAAAGACCTCATATAAATCAATTAAGACCAGCAATCCTTGTATGCCACTAGTGGGAGTGTGAACTAGTATAGCCACTTTGGAAAAGACTTTGATATAATCTAATAAAATTTAAGATAGGCATAGTCTATATCCCAGCATGTATATTATAAGGAAATGCTGGCTGGGCGTGGTGGCTCACACCTGTAATCCTAGCAGTCTAGGAGGCCGAGGCCGGTGGATTGCCTAAGCTCACAGGTTCGAGACCAGCCTGAGCCAGAGTGAGACCTCATCTCTGAAAATAGTCAGGCACTGTGGCAGGTGCCTGTAGTCCCACCTACTTGGGAGGGTGAGGCAAGAGAATTGCTTAAGCCCAAGAGTTTGAGGTTGCTGTGAGATATGATGTCACAGTACTCTACTGAGGGCAACAAAGTGGGACTCTGTCTCAAAAAAAAAAGAAATGCTGAATTCTAAGTATCAGGACTAGTATACAAAAATATTCATACCAGCATCATTTCTCATTGGTCCATACTGCACCCCAAATGTCTAAGCACAAATGAGTTAAATTGTGGTTCTAAGAGGCCGACAGAGTTCTAGTTTTTGACCAGTAATACTAATGCCCATTTTTGATGGGTACAGAAGTACTTGCTCTTTAACTATTTACTTAAATATACAAAATAGTTTATACACTTTTCTGTATATATATTTCATAATAAAAATATATTTTAGGCTCGGCGCCTATAGCTCAACCAGCTAAGGCGCCAGCCACGTACACCTAAGGTGGCAGGTTCGAATCCC